GTGGCATGGAGACCGTGGGCAAGTTCGAGTTCTCCCGCAAGGACCTGATCGGGCACGGGGCCTTCGCCGTGGTCTTCAAGGGCCGCCACCGGGAGGTGAGGCCGGGCAAGGAGACCCGGGCCCTAGTTGTTGCGCGGCCGCCTGGGGCCCACGGGAGTCCCGTCACCACTCCTTGTCCGGGTGGGGGTCGTGGCCCTGAGTGACAAGTGTTTGATTTTTAGAAACATGATCTGGAGGTGGCCGTCAAGTGTATCAATAAGAAGAACCTCGCTAAATCGCAGACACTGCTGGGGAAGGAGATCAAGATCCTCAAGGTGAGCCGAGCAGCCTGGGGCTCATGGGAGAGACGGTGGTGGTCCCCCGTCAGCACCCGTGGTGGTGGAGGGTCCCCTGAACCGTTCCTGAGAAACCTGGTCTTTTTGTCCTAGGAACTGAAACATGAAAACATTGTGGCTTTGTATGACTTCCAGGTAAGGCCTCGTACAAAGGGAGGAGACAGGTGGGGTTGGAACCAGGGCTCCCAGTTTGCCAGGGTCCAGCCAGCTGGTGGGTGGTGGTTGACTCTCTCGTTGTGTTTGCGGTTGGAAGTTGGAGGCTGTCTACTTGTGAGGCTTGAGGGGGGACTTTGGAGACCCCGTGTCAGGCCTGTTTTCCTCTTGGGGTTGTTGGGAGTTTTCCCACCTTGTAGGACTGAAGGGGGAGGGCTGTGTACCGTAAGGCAGGGTAGGCTGACAAATTGACATGACCGGGCAGTAGAACTACCCAGTACCGTCTGACCCAGTGGCCGTGACCTGAGTGTGGCTGGCGTCCCCAGTGCAGGCCAGGGTGGCCTTGCCAGGGCACTGGCCCACCTGTCTGAGCCGGCTGTGTTTGTTGACATTGCTCCTGTGGCAGGCATTGGCCAGTGGCTCCCTGCGTCAGCCCCAGCCCGGGAGGGGGGAGGGGCCCCTGGAGTCCTTGCTGGCAGTTGGGGCTTGGCCTGCCCCCAGCCTGGTGGGAGTAGGCTGTAGGGACTGAGGAGCCCTCCTCCGTTCGCTGGCTGGCTTCCGCCTGGTGCCATGGCTCAGCTTGGGTAGGGGTCGGGGGGACCCTGGGCAACCAGCTTGGGAACTTGGAGCCTGAGGTGGCTGATGTGCTGACTAATGGTTTTGAAACCTGTTTACTGAGGCCAGGGACCAGGCCCTGGCTGAGGGGAAGTTCCCTGCTGGCTGGCTGTGTTTTGGTGGCCTCCTCCCTCCCTCCCTCCCTCTCCTGCCTTCTTGCCCAGCTCACCCTCCTGGTACCCTTTCCGAGCTTGTTGTGGTCTCACAGGCATGCAGTGACTTGTATGGAGGGCCCAGGGCCAGTGTTGACAGCAGGTACCTAGAAATACTGGCATAGTATGTGGACATGGTGTTCTTTGGTCCAAGAGGGTACCCCTTCCTCCCTCCTCCCTCTCTTCTGCCTCCCCTCCACCCTTCCTGATCGTCCTATGTTCAGAAGCCAACTCTGGGGGCAACATGGGCTGGCCTGTCACCCAGCCTAGACTGGCAAACACCTAGCAAGACCTAGCAGGTCCCACACCCTACAGGCCTCTGTCCCTGGGGTCAGGCAGACCATGGTGGCACCTTCATCCTTAGGTTCCCAAATGACAATTCCAGGCAGGGCCCGCTCCCCTCTCTGAATGACATCTTTGTCTTCCCCAGGGGAGGGATGTGCCTGGCCTCTCTCTCCCCCAGTGCCAGCTCCATCCCAGCTGGGCCACCTACACCTGTTTGTGGACACTGCCCACTTCCTCTTCTAAGAGGAAGTGCTTAGCATTTCAGGTTCAGGGCCCAGGCTTCTCTGGCTGGCTGTGCTGACTGTCCCTTCCTGCCCAGGCTCGAGCACCATGCCCCTGTGTTCTTACGACTTCTGGGACATACAAATTAGGCAAAACAGAAAAATAACTTGCTCTGGTAGCGTAGTGATTACGAATCGGGCTGCGAACATTAAGGTCAGCGGTTCGAAACTACCAGCCGCTCTGCGGGAGAAAGATGAGGCTTTCTACTCCCGTAAAGATTTACAGCCTCGGAAACCCTGTACAGGGTCGCTATGGGTCGGAACCGACTCCACGGCACTTAACAACAACAAAAAATAGGTAATACGTGACTAGCGAAACCTCAGTAGTACAGAAGGGAATGTTGTGAGAAGAGATTCTTCTGTCTGTTCTGAGGCTCCACGTCACTGGTTGCTGGACCTTTCTGAAAAAGTTAAGAACAGTTTTTGGAACCGGTAGATCTGTGTGCATGTCTCTTGCACCTTGATCTTTCCATTTAAGAAAACAAGGGGGCTTCAAAAAGTGTGGAAAATAGAGTTAGAGATAATGGTGTCGTCTCAGAAACTTTTTGAAGCCCCCTTCATGTATCTTGGAGGAGGATTCTTGTTACTTCACAAAACAGTAAAATCACACCCCTGCCTTCCCACATGTTCACCTCCTCCTAATGCTAAGAGAAGTAGCCACCTTGAAATGCAGCAGTCTACAGCCCAGAGAGCAAGTCCTCTAGACTAGCTGGGTCCAGTCCTGTTCTGCAGCCTAGACATGCTGTGTGTCCTTGGACAAGTCCTCAGCACTGTGTAGGGCAGAGACAGTGGATCTAGTGATAGTTACATAAGGGACTAAACTGTATCTGGTCATAGTCGCTGCTACTGAAGTGCTGCCGTGTGCTGAGTGGGATGGTATTCCATGATCTGGATAATCCGTCACTGACGTAGCTATGCCCCCAGCTGATGGGACATGGGGTTCATTTTGGTTCATTAAACAGCTGGCTGTAGTTGACCTTGGCCCATCTTTGCCAAGTGTGTTTCTGTAGATGACCTTCTCAGAGGTAGAATCCCTGGGTAAAGGGGTGTGTGTGTGTGTGTGTGTTTTCTAATTTAGTCTATTTTTTGTTGAGCGCGTGACCCAATTCCACCGCTTCTACACGTACAGTTCAGTGGCGTCGGTCACATTTTCTAGTTGGTTAACTATTCTCATGCTTCTTTTTCGAATTGCTCCTCCCCAGTGACAGTTTGCTCTTGTCCATCTGACCCCATATAGAGAGATCCTAACAGACATCAGTGCTAAAAGTAGACACTTTGGAAAAGGACATGTGTTTTTGGTACTGGTAAAACCCAGTACCTACTACAAGTCACTTTGGACTCATGGCAACCCTGTTGTTGTAGGGCCGTGCCATTGAGTTGCTTCCGACTTAAAGCGATCCTGATAGGGTTTCCGCTGACCTTGTGGTTTGAAGTCCAGTGGTGTGCGTACCGCATCACACCTCCAAGGTTTCCGAGGCTGTTGTCTATGGAAGCAGACGGCACACAGGGGTTGGTGGGCTTGAACCAGGGACTTTTGGTGTCTAGCCAAGAGTCTTAAGCACTGCACCACTAGGGTCCCCTGTAATGGTTTGCTGTTGCCCAAGTGCCCTCCTTGCGTGGCCTCTGGCAGTGCCTGCCCCCGTTTGTCAGGAAATTGATTCCTCACCTTGGCCCACAGGGTGTACATGTGAATGTTAAAAATACCTCCCATTCCCGTGGCACATATTTCTAGCCGGCTGTTGGCTTTAGTGAGGGAGGACGGTAGTGGTTACTAGCACGGGCCCTGGAGCCAGACTTGTTTCTTGGTGCCCTGGCTCCACCATTTGTTTACCTGTGTGACTGTGGGCAAGTTAGTCTCCTAATGGCGAGCCTGGTGGTGATGACTCCCTGGGCAGTGTGGTAAGAGATGTTTCCAAGCCCACTGCTGTTGCCCATGGCTGGCCACCAGGGTGAGAGCGAGAGCCTGTCCTCTTTCCCTCCATGATGGATGAAGGCTGTGAGCTTGAAACGACTGGCAGCAGCTAACAGCGCTAACCCTAACCAGTCACTTTAAGCTCCCAGCAGCCTCTGTGTGAAAGTTGAGCGTTCTGTGCCGTTCGGAGCGGTCATTGCCATGTGCTGTGTTGGACCCATTGGAGCCATTGTGTCAGACCGTCTTGTTGAGGCTCCCCTAAAGAAGCAGGCTATGGTGTAGCACTGTAGGATAAGCAATGGCCTGAGGACCCCAAGGTCAGCAACTCAAACCCACCAACTGTTCCTCAGAAACCCTGTACAGGGTTGTTGTTGTGAAGTGCCGTCGAGTTGGGTTCCAACCCATAGCCACCCTGTGTAGGAGCAGCTAGTGAGCTTGAACCGCAGGCCTCACAGTTCAAGCGGAGGTTGCAGTCCAGCGCATCTACCCAGAGCGCCACACCAGGACTCCTATATAGAGGGTTACTGAGTCAGAATCCACTCTCAGAACCTTCAGAACTTGCCGGAGCTCTTTAGAGAGTAAAGAGAGGGACCCTTTGTTGTTTGCGCCAAATACTGCTCAGGAGCGCACTGACTCCCTACAGTAAACACTGGACTGCAGACCACAAGGTTTGTGCTTCGAGCCCACCAGCTACTCCACGGGACAAGATGGAGACTTTTCTGCTTAGGAAACGGTGTACAGGCTCACTGTGAGTCAGGGCCAGCTGGACAGTACTTAACAACAACATTCAAGCCTCAGATTGTCCGTTAGGGGTCCTGCTTTTCCCCTTCCTGTCTGATATGGGAATGGCTAACTGGTCAGGCTGATGGGAGAGGGCCTGGGAGGTGGATTCTGTGGAGCGGTCTCCCTTCTGAGTCAGCACACCTATGGGGTGGTAGCTGGCCGCCTCATGGAGGGGAAAGACGGCAGGTTCTGGCTCTTATCCTATGTGGTGCTGTGGTCAGTGTCAAATGCTGGAGCTGACTGGCCCCTGCACACAGTGCCCAGGCTTTGCTGAGGCTGACCCCTCCTTTGACACTGGCAAGCTGTCTGGCTACTTCCCTGGGTCTGGAGGCTTTGCTGGGTAAGGACTCCCCTTGGCTCTCCTGGGGAGCCCGGACACCCAGGGATTTGTTCCTCCACACACACTGCAGAGCCTGTGAGGAAAGGCCGTAGCCTGGGGCTTAGTGGGCTCAGGACTTTGGGGTTCGCCCCATCTCCCCGGGGCCGGACCTGGTGATCTTTTCCTGATGTGGATCTGAATGAAGCTGGGGTCTAGGCAGTCCAGGAAACTGGCAGCAAGTGTGTGTGTATGTTGTCTACCACTGACATTTTGTATCGTGAAGTATAATCATCATCATCATCATCTTCACCAATGTCCTTTTACCATGCGTCTCTGTATTGAGCGTCTCAGGTAGAGACAGACGGAAGGTTTGTGGCAACCCTGCACTGAGCAAGTCTGTTGGCGCCATTTTCCCAACCTCATTTGCTTACTTTGTGTCTGTCAGATTTCAGTCTTACAATTTTTAAAACATTGTCGTCATGTGATAGCGCACATTCTAGACTACAGTAGAGTGTAAACATAGCTTCTTTGTGCACTGAGAGGCCAAAACATTCATGTGATACTCGCTTTACTACAATGGTCTGCACTGAACCCACAATGTCTTCGAGGTCTGTCTGTAGCTCTCAGCAGCCCCCAAAAGTATCCAGACCCCCTACTCTTGCTCCTGGAAAAGCCATGTTGATGTGAACTTTCCTCCTCATACTTCGGTCGGGCCCTCCCCTGGTTTTAAATCTTCAGAACCCACACCGTCCCTGCCACGTTTTTCGAGTAGCTAGACTCTTGACTCATCCCTCAGTTTTCCCTGCCCTTAGCCTCTGGCCAGTAGGGCTTCATTCCATTTTCCCAAGAACTTTTGAAGCCCCCTTGTGGGTTCCCGTGTATTCCTGATACAGGTGGTTTCCTGTATTCTGACTCTCATTCCCACCTGTCTGCCACTTATCTGCTGCCTCCCCGCAGCACCCCGACTCCTCCAGCATAAGCCCTGGGCGAGGATTAGCTCACGTCTGGCGGGGTGGAGGGTTCCCTAGAGGTCTGGGTATGCAGCCCTAGGGAGCAGGGACACAATGGGCTTGCTGGGAAGGAGGGTGGGTACTTCCGGCTCAGAGGGTGCGGTGGGCTGGAAGCTGGCCCTAGGGACTGGGCTGGGAGCCAGGAGCCCCTGGGGAAACAGCTTCTGTGAGGCGAGCCCTTCCTTCCTGGTCAGTACCATCCGGGCTCCAGGCTCACTTTGTGTTCCCCGTCTCAGCCCTGGAGCCTTGGCCAAGGGGGAGAATGGTGTGTGCAGTTAGGATTGGGGCCTTTCTGGTCATAGACAGATTACAATGAGTTTTTTTAAAAAACTTGTTACGGTGAATTGAGTGAAGGTTTACAGAGCAGATCATCGGTTTTACATTCAACCAATCCTACACTTCCTTTCAGCTCAGTTGCAGGGTCCTCAGTTTAACAGCCTTTCTCCCACTTCCTCCCCTTCCTCCTCCTCCTCCTCCTCTCCCCACCCTTCTGTATTTTGTCCTGGGGTACATGTTGCCATTTAGAACTCAAAGGTTTGTTTACCTCAGTCCTGGTGTGGTGCTATGGAATATAGCACTGGACCACAAGGTCGACGGTTCAAACTCACCAGCCGCTCCTTGGAAACCTATGCAGAGTTGACTCAGCAGCACTTAAGACCACCACCTCACTAGTGTTGTTATTACCCTTATAAGCTTCTCTCTGGCTGAAAATGTAGCCATAGAGGTGTGACCGAGACTTAGAGTCTCAGCCTGTATCAGTCTTTAATCAGCCTGGTGTTTTGTTTTTTTTAAAGATTTCTTTAATGATCTCTAAGCCAAGAGAAGCCTCTAAGGATGGTGACAGGCACACTTGCACGTCTCTGGCATTCTCTCTGCTCCCTGCTGGGGGCCGGAAGGCTGACTCAGGAAGGAGTTAATCAGGCCACGCCGCCCCCGCCCGCCCAGGGTCACCAGACAACACAGGGCTGGCAGAGGGTGAAGAGCTGGATCCTGAGACCAGGTGGGCGCGGCCTCGTACGTGCCCAAAGGCCCGTCCAGACTGCTGGCTGAGCAGACCCGGTCTCTGTCGCTCTGGCATCTGTGACTGTCTAGTGCGTCAGGGACTCCCCTGAGTCGGCCTCATGTGGGGGTGTGGCAGTGGTCGGGCAGGAGTCCTGACTGACCTCACATCTGGAGGAGCCTGGGCTTCATGGGGAAGTGCTTCCCCCTGGGGTGGGGGCTAATCGGGCTGCCAGGCTACTGCATGGACTCCTGGGTTTGAAGTGGGTCTGGGAGCTCTCAGTGTGCCACAGGGTGAGGATGCTGAATCTGAGCTCCCGGTGGGAAACGGAGGCACACATAGCCCCTCTGAGCTCTCTCCCCAGGGGCCCTTGTGTCCAAGCTGGCTGTAGGAGCAGGGGACAGGGCGAGGAAGCTCATTCCTGCTGGCCGCCTTGGGCCAGCCCATGGGAGGGCACCAGCAAAGGGTTAGCAGGCCACCCTGTGAAATGAAGGCCCCCAGGAATCAGCAGGGGATAGGCACAACCTCCTGGGGTGTCCTGGGTACGAGGTAGAGGTGTTGGCTGCTGCACTTCTTCCTCTGGATTTGGGGGGGGGGGGGCAGGCTGCACTCCACACCCTGCAATATTGGCTGTCCCCATCTCTGTACCTGTCTCTGTCTCTTTTCTGTGCTGCCGTCCTGGTGTGTTCTGGCCTCGGTAGGCAGGAGTGGGGTTGTGGTGAGTTGGGTCCTAGGAGCCAGGCCTGGAGTTGGTGACCCCCTGTCTGTGTGACCAGGTCTCTCCTAGGACGTGCCTGTGTGCCCCCAGGGAGTGTTCTCTCTCCCTGGCTATTTCTGGCTCTAAGTGCTGATTCGTTCCTATGGCACCTCGCACCCTGGGCTCCCCGCTCCCTCTGTCTGGGTCTCCATTAGCGCTGTCTGTCCTGAGAGCGAGGCCTGAACCTGCCCCTCTTCATCTTCCATGTTGATGCCGCCGCTGTCTCCTACCCCCAACCCCCACCCCAGCTGCCTGCCTGCCCGCCCGCCCGCCCACCCATTTGGTGCTGCTGTGTGTGGGCCCGGACAGCTGAGGCGGGAGAAGTGGGGCAGCTGTTAGCTTTCAGGCCTAGGCAGGTGACGCCCACAGCCACTCAGGCTGGGCACCAACCACCCTCCACGGCTCCAGGACTGAGTGCCAGTGCCGGCGGGCATAGGGCAGGTATGGGGCGGGCCTGCTTCTCTTCAGACACACCCTCTAAGGGAGCGTGAGAATGACTCTCCTCCCCACCCAATCCCCTGCGCAGGCCCTGCGCCCAGTCCACTGTGGGGTTTCAGGGTACTCAGTCCTCAGCCTGCCCTGCCCACCAAGGCCCAGGTCTGAGGAGGGGTGGATAGGACACAACTGGGGCCTGACTGGGAGGACTGGTCTGTGTCTGTGTCCCTACCCCTCACCGCCTCTTCTGTGTCTTGTAGGAGATGGCCAATTCTGTCTACCTAGTCATGGAGGTGAGTGCTCACTGGAGGCCAGGAGGCCAGGACACTGGGGGTGGGGGACTTTGGACCACTCGGGCTGTCTCCTGCTGGCTTCCTGCCGAGGGAGGGGCTGGCCTGGGCTGAAGGACAGCTGCTCACGTTGTGCGCTCTGTTGCAGTATTGTAATGGCGGGGACCTGGCTGATTACCTGCACAGTGAGTGGAGGGGACTCTGTCTGCACCCAGGGCCCGTGGGCGGGGAGGATGAGCTGTGGGAGGCCAGGGGAGGGTGCTGGCGTGTGAGCAGGCGCGCTGGCACGGGGAGGTGAACACGTGCGTGCGTGCACGTCCACAGCCAGGGTGAGCAGCTGGCGGATTGGTAGGGGGTCCCAGGGAGGGCGTGTAGAGCAGGGACCCTGGATGTGTCTTCACCCGGAACGCAGGGCTTGTCTCTGGCTGGGAACGCCGACCCCTAGACCCCTAGTCCGGAGTGGGAGCCGCCTGCTGGCCTGCGGGGTCCCCTGTGGCTGAGTCCGCCCACTCCCAGAGCCCCTCCCACAGGGTACTGTCTCTTCTGACCAGTGGCTGTCAGGTGCCACACATGTCAGGTCGGTCCCAAGCCAGCCTCGACTGTGCCGCTCCAGGCCTCGAGGGGCTGTCCAGGATTGTGACATGGCTCTGTGTTCACGGGTGTCATGGCGGGACTGTGGGGGCCTGGAGTCTGAGGCCTGTCAGTGAGCTGGGCCAGTCTGCATTGCCTGGTGGGGCGTGTGTTGCCCCTGAGAAGGGTGAGCACCTTGGGGGAAGGCAGAGATTGTCTCGGAGGATCGGGGAGGGTTGTGTGGAGTCCAGGTGTGGGCCTGCTCAGAGACCCTGAATGCCTGCCTGTAGTGCGTGTGGGGCTGTGATGTGGATGTTACAGTGTAGGTGTAACTGAGCACCCGCATAGCTGTGTGTGAGGAGTGCTGTGATGAGTGTCTGACTGCGTGGAGTGTGTGTGAGTGATTACCTGGATTGTGTATGACCGTGTGGGTGAATAACCATCGGGTGTCTGTGTGTGTGTGTGTGTATGACCGTGTGGGTGAGTGACCATCTGTGTGTGTGTGTGTGTGTGTGTATGACCGTGTGGGTGAATAACCATCGGGTGTCTGTGTGTGACCATCTGTGGTTGTGTGTGTATGACTAGCTGTGTGTGTGACTCAGCATCTGGTGTGTGTGTGGTGTGTGTGTGTGTGTGTGTGTGTGTATGACCAGCTGTGTGTGTGACTCAGCATCTGGTGTCTGTGCGTATGTGGTGTGTGTGACCAGCTGTGTGTGTGAGTACCTGTAGCGTGTGGCTGTAGCTGAGCATCTGGTGTCTCTGTGGTTGTGTGTGATGGTGTGTATGTGGACTCACCACCTGTACCCCTCCTTGCCTGCTCTACGGCTTTGGTCACCTAGTCGCCACATGTTCCCTGGAAGCAAGAGGTGGACCCTCGTCACCCCTGGCCCCATAACAGACAGGGCCCAGGTGGGTGACTGGGAGGGGTGTGGAGATGGAGCCTCCCACCAAGGTCAGGCGGCCCTGGGTCCCCAGAGCACGTACGGGAGAAGGTGTGCAGCTGGAGACCTGGAGTGCTGCTCCGTCTCCCCACAGCCATGCGCACGCTCAGCGAGGACACCATCCGGCTGTTCCTGCAGCAGATTGCGGGGGCCATGCAGCTGCTGCACAGCAAAGGCATCATCCACCGAGACCTGAAGCCCCAGAACATTCTGCTGTCCAACCCCGGTGGGCGCCGAGCCAACCCCAACAACATCCGTGTCAAGATTGGTGAGCCACGCTGTTTTGGCCTGGGGCTGCCTGCCATGGGGACCTGGTATGGCCCCCTGACCGCCTCTCTCCTCACAGCTGACTTCGGGTTTGCCCGCTACCTGCAGAGCAACATGATGGCGGCCACGCTGTGTGGTTCTCCCATGTACATGGTGCGTTCCTGCATGGGCCCTGGGGACCCGGGGCTGGGTGCTGCAGCTGGACACTGAGGCCCTGTCTCCACCCTGCAGGCTCCAGAGGTCATCATGTCCCAGCACTACGACGGCAAGGCAGACCTGTGGAGCATTGGCACCATCGTGTACCAGTGTCTGACGGGCAAAGCGCCCTTCCAGGTGAGCCCAGCAGGCTGGTGTCCTGTCTGAGCCGGTGGGCTGGGGCGGGGTCAGGCCCAGCTCAGTGCCCTCCTCCTCCTCCTCACAGGCCAGCAGTCCCCAGGACCTGCGCCTCTTCTACGAGAAGAACAAGACGCTGATTCCCACGTAAGTGCCCTCGCGTCAGCTCAGCGCCTGGGGCTGCTGATCCCAGCTTTTCCTTAGGGAGACCTCTGTGGCACCCCCCCAGTTCCCCAGCATCCCCCGGGAGGTCCGCCTCCCACCTGCTAATCCCGCCCCTTCCCCCAGGATCCCCCGGGAGACTTCTGCCCCCCTGAGACAGCTGCTGCTGGCCCTGCTGCAGCGGAACCACCGGGACCGCATGGACTTCGGTGGGTCCCGCCTGGCCCAGGCTCTCCCCAAACCCTCTGACAGGGTGGGAGGTGGGGCCCCCGGCCCCCGCTGAGGCCCATTCTCCTACAGATGAGTTTTTCCATCACCCGTTCCTTGATACCAGCTCTTCCATCAAGAAGTGTGAGTTGCTCTTACCCACCCCCACCTTAGCTGTGCCCTCTCACTGAGAAGTGGGTGTGACACCCTTGGGAGAGCTGGGGCTGCGGGGGGGCCCAGAAGCCTCACTCCAGGCCTGGGGTCCCTTGCTGGGGAGGGGGCAGGACAGGGGACCCTTGGGGGCCCGGGAGCCCTCCTAGGCAGGCTCTGGAGTGCCCCTGATGTCCTGGCAGCGCCCCCGGTGCCCGTGCCCTCCTACCCCAGCTCAGGATCTGGTAGCAGCTCCAGCAGTAGCTGTACGTCCCACCTGGCCTCGCCACCGGTGAGTCCCCTGTCCTGGAGTGGGGTGGCTGCCGAGTGTGGGACGCATGTGCAGTCCCGGCTCACCGCTGTCTCCTGTCCAGTCCCTGGGGGACATGCAGCAGCTGCAGAAGACGCTGACCTCACCGGCCGCTGCCGCCACCTTCCTCCAAGGCTCCCGGGAGTCTGCTGGTAGCAAGGACTCATCCTGCGACACTGACGACTTCGTCATGGTTCCCGCTCACTTCCCAGGTCGGGGGCTGGGACAGCCCGGAGCCTAGAGGGAGTGGACTAGCTGAGGGCTCTCCTGGGCCCACCTTACCGTGTCCCCACCCACAGGTGACCTAGGGGCTGAGACGGCCTGTGCCAAACCCCCTCCAGACAGCCTGCTGTGCAGTGGGTGAGTCCTGCATCCCATCCCCCTTGGTGGTCAGTGAGCAATTTTTAGGGGGTGCTGCATCACCTTAGCTTTTGCCTGGACCACTTGAGGCCCTTCGTGGCCTCTTCCTCCTCCCCAGCTTCTGTGGGGAGGTGGGGCAGGTCCAGGTCTGTGACCCACATGTGCCCTTTGACCCCACCAGAAGCTCACTGGTGGCCTCTGCTGGCCTGGAGAGCCATGGCCGGACCCCATCGCCATCTCCACCATACAGCAGCTCCCCCAGCCCCTCTGGGTGAGTGACTTGCCAGGGCAGCCCAGGGCAGGGGGTGAGGGTAGGACTCAGCTGTTTCCAGGCCTATTTGCCAAGGGCAGGGAGGGGGAAGGTGTCTTTGCCCTATAGCTGGCTGCTCTTCAGGCCCTGGTTCTTGACCCAGCCCGAGGCGTAACCTTGTCCTCGGCCCCCAGCCGGGCTGGCCCCTCTAGCAGCAGGTACGGCGCGTCTGTCCCCATCCCAGTTCCCACGCAGGTGCACAACTATCAGCGCATTGAGCAGAATCTGCAGTCGCCCGCCCAGTATGGAGCACCCCGGTGAGTGTGGCTGTGGGTTCTGCAGCCCCCACCCCTGACTCTGACTGCGTCAGCACCTCTCACTGCCTGACTGTCCACAGGTCCACCACCGTCCGCAGGTCAGGCAGTACCAGCCCCCTGGGCTTCGCCCGCGCCAGCCCCTCGCCCCCATCCCATGCTGAGCACGGCAGCACTGCCCTGGCCAGGAAGTTTGTCCTGGGTGGGGCCCGGCCCTACACACCCTCACCCCAAGGTGAGGCCGGATCCCTGGATGCCCAGGAGGGGAGGAGCAGAAGGGGACAGTGGTGTTCCTGCTTTGACTTGACAGACCCTCCGTTTTTCTCCAAAGTTGGAACCATCCCTGAGAGACCGGGCTTCAGCGGGGCGCCCTCCCCACAAGGAGCTGAGATGCGGGGTGGCAAGTTCCCACGGCCAGGTGGGTGGGCCTCTCAAACTAGTGACGAGGTGGGGGTTTCTGTGTCCCTGGGATGGTGCCCCAGGCTACTGTGGGGTGTCGTGGGTGTTGTGGAGGTGATGCCAGGTGCTCCTCACCCTCAGGTTCCTCGGCACCTGAACACTCACCCCGTGCCACTGGGCTGGGTTGCCGCTTACACAGCGCCCCCAATCTCTCGGACCTTCACGTCGTGCGCCCCAAGCTGCCCAAGCCTCCCACGGACCCACTGGGGGCAGCGTTTGGCCCCCAGCAGGCCAGCCCCCCGCTACCAGCCTGTCGGCCCCTGCGTGGCTCTCCCAAATTCTCTGACTTCCTGCAGCGCAGCCCCCTGCCCCCCATCCTGGGCTCCCCCACCAAGGTAAGGGTCATGGCATTCTGGGTCCGCTCCTTTCCAGCCAGGTGCACTGGGGGCTGGGGCAGCTGTTGTACAAAAGATCAGGGGCTAGGGCTGCCTGGGCCCACGCTGCCCCTCACCCTGCTCCTGCCTCACAGCGCCTGGGGTTTCCCTCAGCCTTGGGGTTGCTCCCAGCATTCACACCTCTTCTTGCTGTCTTGTGGTAGAATGGAACCTCAAGTACTGATTGCCCTTTCTCAGAAGGTTGGCTGGTTCTTGCTCCCAAGGCCTTGGAGAGTCCCACATTGGCCAAGTTGCCGAACTTCCCTTTTCCTCAGACTGCTTTTCTGTAATAATGAGGCCGCAAGCAGAGTCTCCTCTGAGGGGTGTTGTCGGCGTAACTCACAAGTCCGTTTCTGTGTACAGGATTTGTGTACATGTTCTATAGTGCTGGTCCGTCGGTCCCCACTCACAGTGACCTTAACAGGACAGACCGATCTGCTCCCTAAACTTTCTGAGGCTGTAACCCTTTACAGAAACAGACTGTGGCCCCCCCCACTGTCGTTCTCCTTGACCTTTGTGGAGTTTGGATTTTGTTCCACAGCGGTGGGGTGTTGGGATTCTGGAGGGTGATTCTTACACCCTCCTCTCCCCCAGGCCAGTCCTTCATTTGATTTCCCTAAGACGCCCAGCTCACAGAACCTGCTGGCCCTGCTGGCCCGGCAGGGTGTGGTAGTGACGCCCCCTCGGAACCATACGCTGCCTGACCTCACGGAGAGGGGGCCCTTCCAAGCCCAGCCACTAAGTTCCGGGCTGCGTCCCCCTGAGGAGGCCAAGGGTCCATTTGGCAGGTGAGCACAGAAGGAAGGTTGGGTATGGGGTGTGGCACTGGAGTTGGAGAAGGTAACAGGCACCTGGGCCCGTCCAATGGGGCAGCCCCTCCAGTGCTGCCTGGCCGCCTCTGCCCTGCAGGTCCCTCAGCACTGGCCGCCTCACTGACCTGCTCCTGAAGGCAGCCTTCGGCGCCCAGGCCCCGGACTCGGGCAGCACCGACAGCCTGCAGGAAAAGCCGATGGACATCGGTGGGTGCGCAGGGCCTGCAGGGCTCCAGGGTGTGGCCGTGGGGCCCCCAGTGACCCTTAGCCCCCCTCTCACCCTCCCAGCACCCTCTGCAGGTTTTGGAGGAAACATGCACCCTGGAATCCGTGCGGGGGGTGCCAGTAGCCCTTCCCCTGTGGTGTTCACCGTGGGGTCTCCCCCAAGCGGCACCACGCCTCCCCAGGGCCCTCGGACTCGTGTGTTTTCAGGTGAGGCCTTCCTGGAAGGGGGTGGTTTAGGGCCGAGGGAGCCTGGGTTCTCTGCCCCTCCTGCCTTCACGTTGGGAGCGCATTGTCAAGTGGGCTGGGTCTGTCCCCTCCCGGACCTGCTGTCCCAGGTGCCCCTCACAGTGGCATCTCCCACAGTGGGCTCTTCAGGCTCCCTCAGTTCTGCTGGCTCTGCCTCTGGTCGCCTCTTGATGCCCGGGGCCTGTGAAGGTGCCACCCCTGAGGCCTCTGCCCCGGGACACTGCTGCAGCTTTGCCGACCCTATTGCTGCCAACTTGGAAGGGGTTGTGACCTTTGAGGCCCCCGACCTGCCTGAGGAGACCCTCATGGAGGTGGGTGTTGGCAGCGGAGAGAGAGAAGCTGAGGGGTCCTGGCGGGGCTGGGAGTGGGGAGGCTTGCTTGTCCTGACCCCTTGTCCTTCCAGCAAGAGCACACGGAGACACTGCATGGTCTGCGCTTCACACTGGCCTTTGTCCAGCATGTGCTGGAGATCGCTGCCCTCAAGGGCAGCGCTGGCGAGACCGCCGGAGGCCCCGAGTACCAGCTGCAGGAGAGCCTGGTGGCTGACCAGATCAGCCTGCTGAGCCGCGAGTGGAGGTGTGCTCTCCTGTGGGAGGGGTGACGGGCTGCCAGGACCCAGGGCGCCCCCTGACGCCATCTCCCGCCCCCCCCCTCCCCCCAGCTTTGCCGAGCAGCTAGTGCTGCACCTGAAGGTGGCCGAGCTCCTGTCCGCCGGGCTGCAGACAGCCATTGAGCAGATCCGGGCAGGCAAGCTCTGCTTGTCGTCCACCGTAAAGCAGGGTGAGCTCTGCTGAGGGCTGTGGAGGGCTCCGGGCATGCGGGCCGCGTGCTGCCTGGGCTGTCCCTTCTCCCTGAGCGCTGTCGGCTTGCCTGGGGGTCCGTCCGTGCTGTGTGGCCCAGTCCCGAGCTGACTGCCTCCCTGCCTGCAGTGGTACGGAAGCTCAATGAGCTGTACAAGGCGAGTGTGGTTTCCTGTCAGAGCCTGAACCTGCGGCTGCACAACTTCTTCCTGGACAAGCAGAGACTCATGGACCGCGTACACAGCATCACAGCCGAGAAACTCATCTTCAGTCACGCCGTGCAGACGGTGCGGGCAGGCGGGCGGTGGGACCAGGATGGGGGCTGGGCTGCTGGGGGCCCAGCTGAGCCTGCCTCACACAGGTCCAGTCGGCGGCCCTGGACGAGATGTTCCACCACCGGGAGGACTGTGTGCAGCGCTACCACAAGGCCCTGCTGCTCATGGAGGGGCTTCAGCAGATCCTCACGGACCAGGCCGATGTGGAGAACATCGCCAAGTGTGAGCGCCATGGTGGGCCAGCGGGCGGGGGGAGCCCTGGCCCCTTGTGGACATCACCACTCACACCCTGTCCTCCTGCAGGCAAGCTGTGCATTGAGCGGAGACTCTCAGCCCTGCTGACCGGCCTCTGTGCCTGACACTGGGTCCCATGCCCTGAGGTACTTAGTGCCAAGGGGTGGACGCTGCTGGGACTGGTCTGGATAAGTCTGTGGGCCTTCACTGCAGGGGACCTGGTGGAGGATCAGAAGCTGGAATTGGACACTTGGGGCCGCCTGCCCTCCTGCCATTGCCTCAGCCCCTCCACTGACAGGCAGGTCTCCAACTCTCCGAAGTCCTGCCACTGCCCACAGCGGGCACGGCCATGTCACTCTGACCAGTGTCCTGCCTGCCACCAAACACGGCCACGCAGGACCCTGAAGATGACACTGTTGACTCGAAGCCAAAGCTGCTGTCCCACCCACCAGCTTTGTCGTTCCCAAGCACTTTATACGGATAGAGGCTAGGGACAGAAGGGACCACTGGGGGCGCGGCCTCTGTTCCTGGTGTTGCACTCAAGCTGTGTGTACAGACCCATATACATACGTACATATATACATAGTCTGTGTCTGTGCGTGCGTGGATGTGCCCGCACGTGTCCCGAGGCCGGCCCGGAGCCCGTTGGTTACGTGACAACGTGTTGTGTGAGGACAGGCCTTGCCAGCCCTCAGACTCGAGTCTGAAGCTCCTTTGTGTTTTCCTGCAGCTCTTCTGTTACTTGTTTCTCATTTTGTTTTTTGTTTTGAACGAAAAAAATGTGTAGGTGTTTGGGAGGAGTGGGGTAGGACAGGACAGGGCCCGGGTTATGTGTGTGCCTGTCTTCCCCTGCCCCCCATATGCCCAGCAGCCTGGCCCTGACCACTCCCTACCCCCTCAGCTTGGAAGTACAGGGGAGGTTCGGCAACTGGAAACCCATCTCACCTGATTGCAGGGGATGAGGTTTGTGAACCCTGCCCCTTGGGTTAGGCCTGCCTTCCTGTGTCTGTGTCCAGGGTCCCTTGACCTGACCTGACTTCCCCTGAGTCACTGAAATTGCCCTTCTTGATCTGGTGTCCACAGCCCTGAGTGCAAAGGTTGTACCTTTGTGTACAAAGTGTGTGTGTATATGTATATATGTGTATATATATATATATATATATATATACACACACACAGACACACGTGTGTGTGTCTACATATACAACTATGTACACGTATTTTTTTTTTATTTTAATACTTGAAATGTTGCCATGTGCTTGGGCCCAGAAGGCAGGCCCTGGCTTGTTTCTGTCTCCCAGCTGGGTGACTGTCCGGCTGCATGTGCTGTGTTTACACGGAAGGACGTCTGAGGAGGGGGTTTTGATTGCAGTGTTTTGGGCTCCCTGGCACGGTGGCGCTTCGTCCTGGTCTCTCTCGAACACGGATTGTGTGTGTTTTTTTCTCTTTTGCTTTGAATGGTGTCATCCCTGTTAATGGAAATAAACCTTTGGAATTGTTCCCATCGGTGTTGCCAGTGGTCAGTGGTGGCAGCCCTCAGCATCTCTTGTGTGACCGGGTAGGTCTTCTACCAGGGAGGTGGGGCTGAGACCCGGGCTGGTGGACTTGTTTCTGGGTCCCTCCTGCCTCCGCCCCACCCCTCCCAACAGTGCTGCCTACACTGAGCTCAGGGGTTAGGGGGACCTTGGGGTGGGGCTCACTGTGTTAAACTTCTCTGAAATTTGTAGACCTCCACGCGGTAGGCATTCACTGGCACCAGCAGAGTTGGGCGACTGTTTCTTTATGTGCTCCCCCCCACACTTGTTACTCTCTGGCCCTGGTTGGTTTTGAGTGATAGCCATCCTGGTGGGGTGGGGGCGGGGCAGCACGGTCCTATGGCTCAGCCATTTGTAGGTCTTTGGGCCAAATGTCTATTCAGATCCTTCGTTTGGTTTTTAGTTGGGTTTTAATTGGGTGTGCTTGACTCACAGGCATCACATTTTAAAATTATTTTTATAAGTTAAACTCATTTACTACCAGAAAATCCTTTCCTCAGGATGAGAAGTGTAAGTGGAAGGGTGTAAAAGAACTCAAGACGTGGTGGGTAGGTGGTATAACTTCCTTGTGTCCCTTGGGCTTGGTCCTATGGTGCTGACCACCAGAGGGTGGGGTCAGGGACAGGCCCTGCCTCTTCTTGGGGCTCCTGGTTTGTTAGGCCAAATCTAGAAGGATCATAGGAATGGCAGTATAACATTCCAGTCCCCCCAGCTTACATGGACTAGCCCTAGGACTCATTTCCTACTAGTCTCCCTCTCTAGCTGCCTTCCCATCCTAGGAGTATCCTTGGGGGTCTCTCAGTGGACTCTTCATACTGGCCTTTTCTTCTGCGTAAGATTGCCTCCCTCACCAGATTCAAGTCCATGGTCATCTCAATAGCCCCCTCAAGATGTCCATGCCCTAGTTTCTGGACCCTGAGAACACGTGACCTTGTGTGCAAACGAGATTCACTCCTGAGATGGGGTTAGGGTTAGCGGGTCCCAGTATCCTAACTAAGTGCCTTTGAAGAGGAAGATAGGGTGTGAGGAAGTCGATGCTGCAGTCTGTTGGGGGTCTCAGAACTGGAGGATCGCTGAATCCACAACCCTAGTGTCACAATGAGGTTCTGGCCACCATGAGGCCTTGACCCTCCTGAGCTTAGTTGGGAGGAGAGTGCAACCGGCTCCAACGCGTCCCGCACAGCCCCGCCTCTCTGCTCAAATAGCCTCAATGCAGTCCGCTGAGAGCGTAGCCCTACCCCTACCACGTCCCAACACAACTCTGTCCCTCCCTACCCTCCACGCCCCGGTATGGCACAACCATGCCCAACTCGCAGAGCCTTAAGCGTAGCCTGCCGACAGTGGAGCTTCACTCTGATCAAATCCCCAATAAACCCTGTCCCGCCCACTTGAAGAGTTTCAGAGCATTTTTAGGGTGGAGCCCCGCCCCCGCCCCGCCCCACCCGCAGAACCTGAATGCGGGTCTCTGAGCAAAGCCCCGCCTCGCCCATGCCCCAGCACAGCACAGCTCCGCCCCACTCGCGGAGTCTCAGTGCAGTCCGACTACATCTCCAAGTCCTGTTACGTTTTCACTCGCTGAATTTCAGAGCATTGTTTAGCGCGGAACCCAGCTCCGACCACGCTCCTGCTCGCGCCCCACTAGCTGAACCTCAGCGCAGTCTGTTGAGAGCCGAGACCCGCCCCGACTACGCCCCAGGACCGCCCTGCTCCCTGCTCCTCCTCCCCACTAGCGGAACTTCGGAGCAGTTGAGAGCAAAGGGCTCACCCCACTCCCACCCCGGCACTCCCCCGTCCCGACCACGCCCTAGGACAGCCCTATTCGGTCCAACTCGGGACGTTTCAGGGCAGTCGGAAGAGAGTAAATCCCCGCCCCTTCTACAAACAGAGGAATTTTGCCCCCGCTCGGCCGCCATCCGGCACCCGCTCTACTTCCGCCTTCGCCCACGTGGTCCGGCTCCAGTTCAGTCTGTGGCTCCGTGAGTGGGGCTAGACCGGGGAAAGTCCTGCTCGACCCGACGGGTTTCCCGGTGTTCCCCGAACCCGGTGTTCCCCGCTCCCGCAATAACGCCGATCCGGCGGGGTGGGGGCGTGGGTTTGGAGAGGAGGAGGGGTTGTGGGAGGTCAGGGATTAACCCTGGGGTCAGGGGACAGCTGTAGGTCAGCCGAGCGCACTATGAGCCCGCGCGGAAGCGGAGAGTGAGGGGCCTCGGTCGGGGGGGTCAGCAGGGAGGGAGGTCAGTGTTCGGCAGGGTCAGGACTGAGGGGTTCTGAACCCGTAGAGGTCAGGGGTCGGGCGCGCCCCCTGCCGCAGTGCATGGGGGTCCTCAGGCTGCGGGTGGTGGCCGCGGCCCTGTGGAGCATCTGCGGAGGTCGGTGCCTGAGCCCAGGACCGCGCCGCCTGTCGTACCAGTGCCTGCACGTGGCGGCCCGATCGCCCGCTGCATGCGGGCACATTGCCCGGCCCCACTCTCCCCTTTCTCCTCTGCCGATCCCGGTTCTCCGACAGCTTGAGGGGCCGATATCGAGCACGCTCCCTCCCCGGGCTACTGCCCAGAGGGTGCAGGGCTTCCACCTCCGCCCGGGCGATCCTGGCCCCTTTCTGTCCGCACCCCCACCGCTGCCTGCTGCCTCATCCTCGCTCTCACTCGGCCCGTGCCCTTGCAGCCTTGCCCCCATGGCCCAGAACGAGCAGGCCCCCGTCCCCCTGGGGGCCAAGGAGGAGCAGGACAAGAAGACGCGCAACCGGCAGGGTAGGACCAGGGTCTGGGAGGAGACCGAGCAAAAGGCCAAGAAGCTCAAGAACAGCGAGGACGAGGGGCAGAGCAGAAAGCTGCCCAAGAGGAAGGTGGTGCTGCTGATGGCCTACTCCGGGAAGGGCTATCATGGCATGCAGGTGAGCTGGGTCCCGGAGCCGCCCCTGCTCGTCTCTTGGTCTCTGGCCTTGAGGAATTGAGCTGTTGAAAAACTTCTGTGCTCCTCCTGTGCAGCCTCCCACTTGGGCTTCAGAGGGGAAGCGGGAGCCTCAGGCCAGATTCTGCTCCTCTTCCTGGAGTTACTGTCACAGCTGAGGGGGGGGCGGGGGCTCTCTTCCAGGGATGAAGTCTTCCTGTACTTATGTTTCCTCCTCATTAAAAGCAAACCCAAACCCGCTGCTCTCAGGAAACCTATAGGATAGGCTAGAGCTGCCCTGCATCTCGGGTGGTCTTTATGGAGGGAGTGCTGTGGCACTACACATTAAGCACTGGACTGTGAACCACAAGGACGCGAGAAAGATGAGGCTTTCTGCTCCTGTGAAGATTTAAAGCCTTGAAAAAGCCTATACAGAATCATTGAGTTGGAACCAAACCCATGATCCTTAACAACAAACATAGTCCTTGTGGAAATAAACTGCCACAAATTTCTGCTGCACAGCAGCTGGTGTGTTCAAACCGCTGACCTCTTGAGGGCTGTGACACTGTAGGATAAGCACTGGACTACATGGTCCGTTTGAACTATACAGGGTTGCTATGAGTCAGAATGGACTCGATGCACTTGACAACAACAACTGTTTACCTCCTCTGCCATCAAGGTTCTGAGCTCCTTTTCGGGATGGATAACTAGTGCCATGGAGTTCATGCCCACTCATGGTGATCCCATGTGGGTCTGAGTAGAACTGTGCTTTGTAGGACTCTCAGTGGCTCGTTTTTCAGAATGAGCTTGCCAGTCCTATTTTCCAAGGCAACTCTGGTTAGACTAGACCTTCAGGCTTTTTGGTGAGCAGCCAGGCTCAGTGTGGGTCCTACCTTACAGGCCCGAGATGAGGCAGGGACTTGGAGTAGCCCACGGTGTGCGGGGGCCAGTGATTGCTCTCTGAGGGGACAGAGCTGTGGCAGCCGGACCCTCCTCGGTCTTTGTCTTGGTGGTCTCGGTGCCTAGGCCCCTGAAGGTGCACTTTCTTCTAGTTGCTGTGTGTGCTCCTGGTTCTTGCTCGCAGCCCCTTAGAGCTCTTGAAGCGTGGCTCACCTCTGAGGCTGCCACAGTGGGTTGCAGGGCCAGTCTCAGGAGTGTTTCAGAGCTGTGGCTCAGCCTCAGTCGGTGGTGGTTCCAGCTCCCACCTAGTGGTAGCTGGTGGTCCCCACTTTGGAAATGTGAATGTAGGCTGCCATGTAATTGTCGGGGCTCGTGCTGGAACAAAAAGAAAACAACTCTCCTTCTTTAGCGGAACGTCGGGGCCTCACAGTTCAGGACAATCGAGGATGACCTGGTGTGTGCCCTTGTCCGGTCAGGCTGCATCCCCGAGAGCCACGGCGAGGACATGAAGAAGATGTCCTTCCAGCGATGTGCGCGGACAGACAAGGTACTGCGGGTTCTGCCTGTCCTATAGGCTCAGTGCCTCCTCATCACAGCGGTGTGTGCGGTGAGACAGGTGTCACTGTTATTTAAAACTTCCTCGTAGCCACGCTAAGAAGGGAGAAGGAAGCAGGTAAGCTGGCTTTTAACAGTCCTTTTGCTTAAAAGTACATTCAGGAAATCCTCATTTCAACGTGAAGCCAAAATACTGGATCATGAGCAAAGTGTGTTTTTCTTTTTTCTTTTTTTTTTTTCTGTGATGAATCCAAACAAGTAGCCCTGGTGGCATAATGAGCTAGGCTTTGGGCTGTTAACCACAAGGTCAGCAGTTCAAACCCACCATCTGCTACGAGGGAGAAGGATGAAACTGTCTGTTCCTATATAGATCTGCCATCTCAGAAACTGTCCTGTGAGGTCAGTAGGAGTCAGAATTGACTAGAGGAGGGCAGTGGGGTGTTTTTATTGTTTCTGGGGGGTTTTTTTTTGGAAGTTTTGAAGTCAACCTAGTGTGTGGGCTGAGCCCTGAGCCCATTTCACTCTGGGTGGCTGCAGAAGCTGGTGCTGAGTCCTGGCAGATCCCCTGGTGCCCTCACCGCGTGGTGGCCTGGAATCCATGGGGGCAGAGTGCTGGACAGGCCCGTGAGAGTGGCATGAGAACGTTCGTGCCTGGTTCACAGGATTCCAGACCCTGGAGAGCTCGGCTGCGCTTCTGGGCTGCTCCCTGAGCCTGGCTGTACCATCAGAGCTTTCAGCACTAACTCTCCGAGAACTAGATCTCCAGCCGTTCTGCCAGGGTGCCCTGGGCAGGTTCAGACAGCCGAGTGTTTGGTGCAGACTCAGGCTTGTCCACCGTTTGCACTCCCGGGGCCCCATTCTGTTGAAGAAGCCGCAGATGCCGAGTTCTCCGGGAAAGATTCCTGCTGAGAGCTGAGCACACCCCCTTGCTCATCTGCTTCCTCTCAGGGTGTGTCTGCTGCTGGCCAGGTTGTGTCCCTCAAGGTGTGGCTGATCGATGACATCCTGGAGAAGATCAATAGCCACCTTCCATCCCACATTCGGATTTTGGGTAAGTCCATGGTGGTCTGGGCTGGGGCCCTGGCAACTGCAGACCCTGTAAACTTTGAGAACGCAGGCTGTGTCCATGCCACCGTCCTTGATGGCATGTCTAGGGGAGGAGGTTCAGTATGAGTGTCTGGCAACCAGGGAGGAGGTACGGGGCCGCTGGGAGGCGCCCTCAGAGCTGGGAAGAGTGGTGTGTAGTGAATGCTGTGTGCCTTGCGTAAGCAAACACCAGGTATGGAAATCATCCAAATGCCAATAAAATGGCGGCAGTGAGGCACACTTACACAGGAACTGGTGAAGGGTCGTGGAAGAAGTAGTCAGCATTTGGTTGGCAGCGAGAGGCCTTGGAAAGCTCTGACGAGTCAGTGGTTCAGTTACCGTCTCGCAGGCAGGACGCTTGACTTTCCTTCCAGCGAGGGCACCTCATACGCATCTGCCAGTCTAAGACTAGGAAGAAAAGCCTGGTGATTGACTTCTGAGAAATCAGCCGCTGAAGCCCCCGTGGATCCCCAGCGGTCTGCTCCTGGTACGCATGGGGTCGCAGTGAGTCGGAGACTGACTCGAAGGCGGCCGCTGAGCTGAAGAGACCGTTTTCATTTCCTGTGAGTGCAGGCATGCCTCGTCTTACTGGGCTTCAGTACGGTGCGCTTTGCAGATAACTGTGTTTTCCACATACGGAAGGTTTGTGGCAACCCCGCGTCGAGCACGTGTCTGGGCACCGTTTTTCCAGCAGCATTTGCTTGCTTCTTGTCTCTGTGTCTCATACTGGACCTCCTCACACTATGTCAGACGCCTTTGCTGGTTGCATATTTCACAGGCTGCAGTAGCGGAACAGAACTCTTCTGTGCAGCCAGGAAACCAGAACGCTCATGTGACGTACTTCCTTGTAATATTTGATTCATTGCTGTGATCTGGAACTGAACCCCAATGCGTGAGGGCTTTAAAAAGTTCATGGAAAAGTGGAATTAAAGTGTCGTGGAATTTTTCCCACCAACTTTTTGACACTCCCTTGTTCTCTGAGGTAAACATGTGTTTGTCTGTCTGGGTGCAAGTTTGCAATCTTGTTTATTTTCTTTGCTCACCTATTTTCTGTTTCCTTTTGTGCCATGTCCATCTACACACATACTCACAGCAACACTTAATGTACAAGGGTAAGTCTAAAAACTGCTGCTTGCTACTAAGGCTCTAGTTCGCATATGCACGTGTTTACTTCAAACAAAAGGCATTTAAACAGGTCTCTGGGATCAGTGTGCGGCTGCAGACACCTTCTCTCAGGGATATACCCGTCTTAATCTCGTTAGGGTGCCCTCGAAAAACCGAGCCAACCCTAACAGGGCTTTTTAGAGGCTCTGCTGGGATGGTTCGATCGATTCAAGGTGGTGAGGTCAGCTCTGAAGGCTATGGTGACTGCTTCTTGGGATCATGATCCATTTTCTTGAAGGACGCAGGACGATCATAGGAGCTTATTAGAAAGAAGTTTTAAGAAATGGAAAACTGAGAAAAAGGCCAGGCAAGCGCAACCAGGAAGTTTCTCCATCACGACAGTGTTCATCCTCATTCTTGGAAGGCAGCACCAATTGTCCCATTCAGATTTCATTGGGAAACTTTACCTGATCTTACCCTTTAAATTTCTTTATCTTCTCAGACTCAAATACTGTTGAAAAGAAATAAGGTTTGATTCCCTCTAGGATGCTCATCCTGCCATGTCGAGGCTGTATACAGGAAATATAAATGGAAGAGCTCAGGATTCTTTGAGGAAGGGTTTGAGTGGCAGATGTCCCACCTTCAGAAGGGTTGAGACCTAGATGCAGGGTCTGTGGAGAAAAGAGTGTCACATTTTGATAATTTTGTGAATAAAGATTTCTGTGATTTTATAGCAATGATTTTGGCTTACCCTAGTAGTCCCCACATCACGTTTTTTTCTATTTTTAGTTTAAAAAGCCCTTTATTTTTAAATGCCTTTTTAAAAATGAAGTAACGTTGGCATGCAGTAAACTGCAGATATGAAGTATCAGCGTACTCGGTGGGTACCACAGGGTCTGTTCCAGAGCACTTGGGTACAGTGAAGATCACAATCAAGGGGGTCACACGGATGTTGTGGTTTCCCGTTGCATTGAAAGTGATGCTTGACACTAGACTGTCGTCTGTTACGTGTGCAAATAGCGTGATGAAGAAGGGAAGCCTGTGAGAGTGACCGGAACGTAACACAGATGGGTGGTGAGTGAGCACCACCCCTGGAAACACGGTGCCGACAGGCTTCACTGAAGCAGGCTTCTCACAAGGCGCTGTCTCTCTGAAGTGCGCGACGTGAGGTGCAGTGTAAGAGTGTGCCTGTGTCCAGCTGGACGTGTAGGCTGAAGGCTGTGCGTGTGGAAACGCTCGTCACAGTCAGCCCTGTCCCCTCCCTGGGCACCCCCGCCCCCCGTCTGCTTCCTGTTGCACTTGGTTTGTGTGTGTTCCCTGCAGTGTGTGAACGTGCACTCCGTTTAGGAAGTGTTCCATGAGAAGACCTCTGAAGTTTCAGTGTTGTGTGAAAGGGCTCGTGGGTGTGCACCCTGGTTTTCTCTGGCTTGTCACCACGTAGTCGGTGTTTCACTCTGTGTGGTATCTGTGAGGTGGGTGGGCTGTCTGTTGATCTGTTAATGGATATTTGGGTTCTTTTCAGTTTGGTGCTATTACCTGGAGCTGCTACAGATTTTTCTGTATACATCAAGTAGATTTCTTACTGCAAATTCCATCATTCCCGCCGATTTTCCCCCTTATTGTCAGGAGGGAGCAGTCTGTGGAGAAAGATGTCACGTGGTGAGTTAGAGGGTCAGCAAACCAGAGGAAGACGCTCAGTGCTGTGGACTGGCACTCATGGGCTCACACATTGGAGGGATCATGAGGCTGGCGCAGCAGTCGCCAGTCGTTTTCCCGCCCTTCTCTGTGTCTGTGGTCGCTCTAATACGACTACAGCGGAACCAAATTGATGGCCCGCAAGTATGGCGGCTCCAATCCGTCAGCCGCTTCTCAGAAACCCAGTACAGGGTCCTTATGAGTTGGAACCAGCTTGACCAAGGCACTTAACAACAACAACAAACTTACATACTTATTTGTCCACGTAAAATTTAAGCGATAATTCATAATAATCACCTGCTTGAGGCGAGTCAGATTACAGCACACAGCCGCTTGTGCTCAGCCCTCACACCGAACCTTGGAGGACTGAGGACCGTCACAAGATGCCATGGACCTGGTTTCTGCACCGTGGGAGACAGATGGGCAGTCTTGTTTCCATAAATAATTACAATCTTGGAGCCTAATGGGGCAGTTCTACTCGGCCCTTTTGGGTCACTGTGAGTCGGAACCAACTGGCACGGCAGTGGGTCCGGAGGTTTGGTTTTGGGTGAGAAGACACTGACTTGGTCAGTTGGTTCACTGAAGCTCGGCAGACAGTTGGCTCCGGTCCACCAGACCCTTTATTCTTCCTTTACTGTGGCCACTTGTAGATTTCTCTGGACTTAAACACACTGGAACCATTTCCATGGGAACGGCCCAGCGGTCACTGGGTATCGTTGAGTCGGTTCCGACTCACAGTGACCTTACGTACAACACAACACTGCTCGGTCTTCCACCATCCTCTCCAGCATATTTAGCTCCAGGCTTGAAGGATGACTAAGGACCAGCGTCTGGGGGGGTCCACCCGTTTTCTGTGACACCAGTAAGCCTGATCTGTTAGGATTTTGACTTTGGTTCACGTTTTTCTCCTGTTCTGTCCAGTACTTCCTCTTGCGATCTGTCTCTTAGTGTTTCTTCATGGTAACCGGGCACGATCTAGTTCGGGTCTCAGGGTTGTGGAGGTGGAGAACTCTTAAGTCGTGTCGAGGGCCTCTTACATTCGTACGGGAGACACCTTCACACGCGCCATGGGCTAGTTTCAGGTGTGCAGCCTGAATGTTGACAGGCCTGAGTGTCTTGCTGCCAGCCCTCCTTGACCTTTTTCTGGTGGTCCTGCCTTTACAACAGAGAACTTTGTTCACCACGCCTGCTCCAACACTCAAGTGTTTCTGAAACCACACGGGCCAGGAGCGACACACGGAGTCGAGGAGCACTGAGGTTTGTTTAGTAACTGCCCAGAGCTCTGACTTCAGACTGCTGGGGCTGAGACGCTCAGTGGCTGGTGAGTTCATGAGTTCCATACCAGCCCTTCCAATGCAACACTGATGTTTTAGGTCAAGCACTTTTGGTCCGTGAGTTCTCACTAACCTTTGTCCTAGTTATTACCCTAATGCTACACCAGGTCCTAGGCCTAGCTATAATCCTAACTCTAATCTCTAATTCTTTATTATCATTCCCCCGCCTAAAATCAAAAAGGCCCAAAAGTTTGAGTTCTCAACCCAAGTGTAGTTCCAGGTGGGACTGAAGTCAGCTTGCTGTGCTCACTCAGGGTAGGGGTACTTCTGGGGTCGAGAGCTTCTCCCTCCCACCTCATTCCCAACTGCCCCAAATCATTGTCTTGCACTATTGTCTCTGGTTCCTGAGTCAACCCTGACTCATCACGACACTGTGCTTAGCAGGATCTGGCTGTTGGGTTCCCTTGTGTTACTGTTGGCCGACGCTTGGAAACAGGCCACCAGGCCTTTCCTCCTAGTCTCTTGTTCTAGAGTCTCTGCTGAGACATGTTCTGCTCTACTGTAGGTGAGTGGTGGCTGCAGTGAGACGCTCTCCCGCGGGCCACCGGGGGAGCACCACTGCCCCAGGTGCTGATAATGTGGTTGGGAAGTGCCGTGGAGTTGGTTCTGACTCACAGCAACCCTGTATAGGTTTTCCAGGAGTGGCTGGTGGATTTGAACCACCAACCTTTTGGTTTAAAGCTCCCTTGGGGGTGCATGCTTTATCCTGCAGCGTCATACCAGAGTCCTCACCTTTTTGAGAAAGCACAAATTCACACACATCTGTCTGTCTGTACTGCTGCTGACCCCGGAGCCAAGGCTCCTGATTTGGTAGCTCCTCCTTCCTCGGCCCATGAACAGCCCGGGTCACCTGATCACTGCTCATCACCGTGGATTGTTTACACCGTTGAGGGTTTCTTGGTGTTTAAAACAAGGTTGCCCAGATTTTATTCAGCTCTGATAAGGCATTGGACTGCTAACTGCAAGGTCAGCGGTTCAAATCACAGTTTGCTCTAGGGGAGAAAGATTGGGCTATGGATTCCTGGAAAGACTTAGAGTCTCAAAGGCGTTTAAATAGTGTGGCTTTCAGTCAGGATTGACTCGGTGATAATGAGTTTGGTGTTGTAAAAGGAGTGAAGCTCTGGCACATGCTCACACGTGGATGATGCTTGAAAACATGCTGAGTAGAAAAAGGGAGACCGAGGGCCCTATGGTGTCTGAAATCCTACCTACAACCAGGAGATGCAGAGATCCCCATTTATCCGTGCTTGCCAGGGTGGTAAAGGCCAGCGAATGGGACACGGGGCTTCTGGAAGCAGACGGCCTCATCTTGCCCCCCTGGAGCTGTTGGTGGATTAGCAGCTGAACCTTGTAAGCAGGGGACCCTCCTCAAGTTTCTGTTAGGGTGATGGGAATATTTGGAGATGGACCATAATGATGGCTAGCATGGTGTGGTCAGCATAATTAATGTCGCTAAATTGTACACCTAACATGTTTTTAATCTATTTCACCACAATAAAAACTGGAATAAACAAGGCTGCCTCTGCCCACGTCTGCAGAATACATCGTAGCGGCGACTGGCTGGTCCAGGATGTGGGTCTTTCCCTGGAGAGCCCTTGAGAGCAGTGTAGGGTAGCAGCGCCCTCTTTAAAAAATTTTCAACCCATTCTAAGTGTCGAATACTTTCTTTGCGTTTCCTTTTTGATTGTTGTAAAATATATGACACACGATTGTGTACAGGTAGAGCTTAGCAGCACCTGTCACATCATCATGCAATAAGACCATCATTATCCACGTGTGTCAACACAGAGATCCTCAGTGTGCCCTCAACAGTGGCCTCCCCTCCTGGCAAATCAAAAGTCCACTGCTGCCCAGCCGATTCCCACTCATGGCAACTGTGTAGGACAGAATTGCCTCAGGGTTTCCGAGGCTGTAAGTCTTCACACAGCAGACTGCCTCTTGTTTCTCCTGTGGGTTTGAACCACTGTGTCGAGTTTCCAAGGAGAGGCTGGTGGGTTTGAACTGCCAACCCTGTGGTTCCCAGTCCAGTGCTTATCCTACAGTGCCACACTAGGACTCCTGACCGCTGACTGCTGTATCAGCAAGTCTTTTGCCTCCCTCTGGTGAGCCCTAACAGACTCTGGGGTCTCTGCATCTCCTGTGTGTCTCAGGTGACTGACGGCTTCCCCTGGCATTATATGTAGGTCGCGTTCCTTTGTGAGATCCAGAGTGTGACTCACACCATCTCGCCTGACTCGTGCCTGCTGCATCTCCCGGGTACCTTCCTCACCTCAGGCACCTGCTGACCTGCACCCCCCTCTCCTCTCCCCACCCCAGGCCTGAAGCGTGTCACAGGCGGCTTCAACTCCAAGAACAGGTGTGATGCGAGGACCTACTGCTACATGCTGCCCACCTTCGCCTTCGCCCACAAGGACCAGGACGTGCAGGACGAGAGCTTCCGGCTGAGCGCCGAGACCCTGCGGCATGTCAACGAGCTGCTCGCCTGCTTCCAGGGTACTCACAATTTCCACAACTTCACATCGCAGAAGGGGCCGCAGGAGCCCAGCGCCAGGCGCTACATCCTGGAGATGCACTGTGGGGAGCCCTTCGTGCGGGACGGCTTGGAGTTTGCTGTCATCACGGTGAAGGGCCAGAGCTTCATGATGCACCAGATCCGCAAGATGGTGGGCCTGGTGGTGGCCATCGTGAGGGGCCACGCCCCCGAGAGCCTGCTGGCACACAGCTGGGGCCCCACCAAGGTGGACGTGCCCAAGGCGCCGGGGCTCGGGCTGGTGTTGGAGCGTGTGCATTTTGACAAGTACAATCAGCGCTTCGGGGGCGATGGGCTGCACGAGCCACTGGACTGGGTGGCCGAGGAGGCCGCCATCGCCGCCTTCAAGGAGCGCCACATCTTCCCCAGCATCGTGGACACTGAGCGACACGAGCACTCCATGGCTCTGTGGCTCGGCACGCTGCCTGCACACGACTTCAGCGCCTCAGCCCTCACTGCGGCCACTGAGGCCAGCAAGGTAGGCCTGGGGAAGGCCACAGATCACAGGGTTGGGCCACGGGAGGGCTTCCTGCTGGACAGGGGCTGTCCCCATCTCAGGGGGACGCTGAGATCACGCTGCTCCTGGGAACCCGTCACTGGGTGTAAAGACAGCTCTGGGCTGTTAGCCTGTATTAGGGGTGGAGTGAGCACCCATGGGGCCTGGCGCGGGGAACGGGCTCCCTGCACCTGTGATGGCCCTGCCCCTAGGAAAGGGCTGCCAAAAGTTCATAGGAAATGGAATTCAGAAACAGTGGCATGTTTTCCCGTGAGTTTGAAAGCGCCCCGCACATCCACACGGCCTGTGGCACCCCATCCGGAAGGTGGTCCCTCGGAGGAGCTAAGCAGCCTCCACACATGCTCAGGGCTCTCAGCGCCATTGGCTCCGGTCACGTTCCTGTAAAGCAGAGGACAGTGGGCAGGGGAACCGCTCTCTTTCTCACACGTTTTTAAGCTCTCACCTGGCGTCCTGTGCACGGACCCCCCCAGGGCCAGGCAGGCCATCAGATGGCCACGCGGGCCTGGTGGTGTGAAGTACAGCGTGTTTGTCAGAGAAGTGCCACATGCGTCTCAGCAGGAGGCCGCAGCAGGAGGTTGCAGTTTCGTTTTGTTCTCCTTGACCTGCCTGGGAGGGGACCGAGGACCCGTTCTTCTCGGTGTCCAGCACGGTTTCAGAGGGAGGCTGCTTCGTGTCATCTGGGTTCTCCACCCTTGGGTGGCACACTCAGAGGCACACAGGGCTGGGCAGGGATGCCGGCGGTAAGGAAACCTGCATCGCTCAGATGATCGGTGGCACCCGGAGTTCAGGAGGTAGTAGGCTGAAGGGCCACTGAGCTCAGTCGCACTGGTGACACCCCACAGAAGCATGGGCCGTCTGTGGTCAAGGTGTAGACTTTGTCAAGGGAAACCGCCAGTCCCCACTGTGTGGACATCTTCCACTTTGAGAGCTTTACAGAGTCCTGTGCGACTCCCATGATGTCCGCCCCCTCCGAGGTCCTTCTTGACCTCCGGACTTGAGGGAGGCTAGTGAAGGCCTCCATGCCCCTCTCTGCCCTCCAAAGAGCAGTCAGAGACCCCGGCCTCAGAAAACAGCACCCACTTACTGCATTCCTGAGTGTACTCACTTCCTGGGCGGCCCGACCAATTTAGTAGGTGCCTTTCCGCCAGAGATGTTTCTCCTCGCTCAGCTCGGGATCCAGGGGGACCCTTCCTCATCTTTCAGAGCATCTGGGGATCCAGGCATTGCTTGATTTGTGGCCGAATCACTGCCATCTCTGCCTCGCCTCGTGTCCCTG